AATGGTGAAATTTATTTTCGATGTTTTGCGCTTTCAGATAAGTCGGTCAGAATCATTTCAGGCTGATATGTAAAATCGCGTCACGATTTTACATAGCATCATGAAATAAAAGATTTGAAACATTTGTCTATTACCGCATAATTTCTTCACTTGCGAATTTCAGAATTTACCGCATTATCTTCCTTCACCTAGTCGTCCAGAGATCCAGGAGACCTCTGTTCAGTGGTATTTGTGCAGTTGCAGTGTTAGATCAATATAAACACTGATGATTCATAGTTCGAGGCACAAAATACAGCAGATGATAAACATTTTAATACAAATGGGTTTCACGGCATAGACCGTGAATTATTTAAACAACTATGTATATAACTATGGGCCAAAAATCAGAAACCTGAACAATTATTTATGAGTAACAGCGACACGTTTTTTGCCAGCGGAGTTTTAAGAATCGGTAACCTTTATGTTTGCCCCAGCAGTGCGCTGTTAAAACGTCTTTAGAATAGTTAAACGCTTATTAACGTGCTCCGGCATCAGAACTATTTTTGATGCCCTACGAAAATATTCAAAGCATTGGCTTCTGATGTATCATCACTTGTCATGAGGAAGGTAATAGTGCTCTATCTAGAAGAATGATGTCGGATGCATGTAACATTGTAACCGCTCATATTCGACGGGTCCGTGATCTTATTTGAAATATCTTCGATATCAAGATATATCAAGAAGTCTAATTTTGGGAGAGGAGAGCGCTTGTTAAATATTGCAGCGTATGAACCAGTATTTTTATTTTACGAATACGTGTCTGCGGTTTGAAGCGATACACCAGTTTCGTCGTTAAACGGTAATTTTGGTGAAAGTGTCGAATCTTGATTTTGGCGGGTTGGAGACAAAATTTAATTCAGCTTACTATGTTGAATTTTAATAACGATTCGAACACTGTCTGGACTTAATTTTCTATCAGAAAATAATTACCATAAATTTCAAGGTTAAGTCCACGCAACAATGGTCGAGTCAATCTCCATCAAGATTATAAAAGTTTAATCGAATGTTGCAAAATTTTAACTGGTTTTACAATATCAAGCCCCCGTAAAACTCAAATGGCAGTTTGCACAATTTAATTGCATTACCTGCTTATTGATGACAAATGTCTGAAGTAGAGGTGGCTACGATGCATTAAATGTGTAACGGTGCAGCCTCTTCAGGAAAAACCACATTCTCGTGGTTAGCCCAGTATTGGACATATCAGAGGGAGTCAGAAGCAGAAGAAGTTAGACAATATATGGGTCCAGCAAGCCTCAAATGAGAAGTCATCTGCAAGTGTCGGTCGAAAGGAGGACAACGAATGGATGGTGATGCGCACGTCTTTTCGTGAAAGAACAGAGATACACCATGAAAGAACAGACCTACAATTGATGAGGGAGCGGCCGTTCATAATTTGGAGTTAATAACTCCTAACTTCAAGAATGCAACACGCCATACTGAGCAGATATAATAACTCATGCGGCGCCTATAGTTTCAAAATAGGACTAAGGCCGGTAATCATAACAAATAATTTACATACGGACATGAACAATGTTAGTAAACTTTCCGCCTTTTCGTTGAACATGGAACCGAATGGTCATCGTGTTAAAGTATGTTTGAATGATGAACGAAGTATGTTTCCACATTTTTCTATTCTTTCAGAATCGCACGATCTCTTTGGTTATGACAGTGGATTCGTCGCCCGGACAACAACGTAATGCAACCCGGTGCATGCCTGGAAGTCCGGCTACCTCACATTCGATACTGAAATGCATGATGCATTATAAAAGCTGACGTTTTTCGTGGTCGAATAAGTGACAGGTTTGCCACGTGGCAGTTGTGTCTTCCGACCCATCTTTTCTAAGCTGAATGTCCATTGTACTAAAACTTTCAAATAGAAAGCGTTCAATTTCAAAATCAACTATTAAACACGAATATACGGTACAAGATGAAACACTGCTCAGTACATTTAAAAAAACTAACAGCGTCTGAATTTCTGCTCATTTTAA